AAACCTGTGGGCTATCTGTTTTTGCCTGGAAGAAGACACATATTTTAGGGTTTGGATGCTTTTCTTTATTGACCATTAGAACAAATAAAAATATGTAGACCCCTTTTGTCTCTATAGGATTGTCAGAAAACAATTTTATTCCTGCATTCCCACCAGTTGGAGAGCTTGCTTTTACCATAGAAACGTCACCCACTCAAAATTTGTGCATGGTTGTGGGCCAGATGAAACCAATATTATATTATATCTTTATAGGGCTGTGGAATATTTAATTCTCTCCAAATTACGTGAGTCTTGTACTCTTGGCTCTTCTATTATGGACTTGTGATTGATCTTGGAGCTTTTAAAGCTTTAGATTCCCTGTATCAGGAATTTCTGAAACGTCTTTGTTGAATATGGATGGAGCATCCTTAGAAATCCAGCCTGAGGGTCACATGTTTCCTGTATCGCTGTTTTTTCCCTGCGTGTTGCAGGGGTCACTGTCCATGGTGCTGATCTTGCTGATGTTTTCGCTCACACTGATCAGCAGACAGGTGTTGAGAAGTTGCATAAAGCTGTCGTCGCTGCACAAACAAAGTCTGTTCGTCATTTATTTATAAGGCAACCAAAAAAATGACAACTTAATTTGTACATCTGTGCTGTGCTGCTTTACCCTTAAATGTAGGCTTGATGGGAAACGTGCAGGTCAGAGTGAAGATTGCAGCTTTTCTCTGCTGCATGTCAATGGGAGCATGTGCTTTACATAAACCTTTGTCAAATTGCTTTTGCTGCAGGTAGGCAACCTATTTTTGCGATGGAGATGGTCTTAAAATTTTAATTAGGAAGCACCAGATTCCCTTCCTTGGTGTTTTTCCTCTCTTTCTCTCCGTTCACACTGATGCAGATGTTAATCCTCTGGACAGCATTGGTGCTGTACTCTCTGAATTGTTCACTCAAGCTGTTGATGGCTGCGCTGCTGCCAAGAAAACCACTGTGAAATTATTTTAAGTTTTCCCCTGACATAGTTTAAATTGCTTATGTAACATGAAAAACAGTGTTAACTACATTTTTACAATATATTACAGAGTACAGTTGAGAGCCATGCTACACTTCCACAAGAGACCACGATTGTTTCTCCTTTCAATAATCTTATAGTATCTTTATCAGTATGCTGCCTAAGAACAACTGCTCTTCTCTTGACTCACTGTCAGTGAAGATTATTTTTGGAATCCCATCTAACCTGACAGTACATGGTGGACTGAGTCAGTTTTTCCCTCAATACTACAGGTGCAGAGGGTCACATTTCTACCGCTGCTTAGCACAAAATGACCACATTATATGTGGGGGAGTTTGACAGGGTAGTTCAATACCAATGACTCAACGATTAGTAGGTGCCAATATTTCTGGCTTTCCAAACTCAGAACAAATCCCACGTCATTTGCATACAAAAGAATATGACTGTGAGTACTTTTGTGATGTTAAACCTTTGCTTATAGCAGTTATTTCAAGAATAGAACTCTAAATGACGAGCATCTTACATAGTGAATGTGACAATCTCATCCTCCACACAAATGTATTTTTCTTCTGTCTTTCAGAGGTTTGTATAGACCTCCACATGTGAAGTGGATCGAACTCCAGTACCAGAAGACTACAAGCGTCATCATCCTGCCATGTTTCTGCACAAGCGTATCGTGAATTTCACTCCATCTTTCACACCATGTATGTTCATCTCTATTCTGCTGATTCTGCTCCCAGGAGTCACTAATTTCTCCCAGGGCAGCGCCAGCCATGAAGATGCTGGCAGCACACCAGGCAACTGCTCCAGTGAAGATAACTGCTCTGATGGCGTGGTGCTGCCCATGTGGAACCCCCAGAATCCTGCGGTGGGTGACAAGGTGGCACGTGCCATTGTTTACTTTGCAGCCCTCATATACATGTTCCTGGGCATGTCCATCATCGCAGACCGCTTCATGTCATCCATCGAGGTCATCACCTCTCAGGAAAAGGAGATCACCATCAAGAAGCCCAACGGTGAGACGACAACGACTACTGTGCGCATCTGGAACGAGACGGTATCCAACCTGACTCTGATGGCGCTGGGCTCGTCCGCACCAGAGATCCTGCTGTCTGTCATTGAAGTGGTCGGCCATGATTTTGAGGCTGGATCTTTGGGTCCCAGCACAATTGTGGGAAGCGCTGCATTCAACATGTTCATTATCATCGCTATCTGTGTCTACGTGGTGCCAGAAAATGAAACCCGCAAGATAAAGCACCTACGGGTGTTTTTCGTTACTGCTGCCTGGAGCATATTTGCCTACGTCTGGCTGTATCTCATCCTGTCTGTGTTCTCCCCGGGGGAGGTAGAGGTTTGGGAGGCCGTCCTCACTTTCTTCTTCTTCCCTCTCTGTGTGCTGCAAGCCTGGATTGCAGACCGGCGCCTGCTCTTCTACAAGTACGTTCATAAGCGTTATCGTGCTGACAAAACCCGTGGCATTATCATCGAGTCGGAGGGCGATGCCATGTTCACTAAAATGGACCTGGAGATGGACGGCCAGGGTGTGAACTCCCACACTCACCCCAAAGAGGCTCTGGATGGAATGCTGGAGGGGGTGGAGGAAGGTGGAGGGATGAGTGCGGAGCAAGATCAGGAGGAAGAAGCCCGACGGGACATGGCTCGCACTCTGAAAGACTTAAAACAGAGGCACCCGGAGAAGGACATGGAGCAGCTAATTGAGATGGCCAACTATCAAGTGCTGGTCCAGCAGCAGAAGAGCCGGGCCTTCTATCGCATTCAAGCCACACGCATGATGATCGGAGCTGGGAACATCTTGAAAAAGCACGCTGCTGACCAGGCCAGGAAGGTGGTGAGCTGTCACGAGGCCAGTGGGCAAGAGGAGGATCCCAACACCATCTACCTGCAGTTTGACCCCTCTCACTACCAATGCTTTGAGAACTGTGGCTCACTAAAGCTGTCAGTGAGCCGGCATGGAGGGGAAAGTGGCTGCACTGTGAAAGTAAGAAGTAATGATGGAAATATTGTAAATGCTTAAGATCCATTTAAAATCAACTTTAAATGCTTGAGGTGTTCAAAATTGTAATAACTCTGCATTTTATTGTAACTCCACTATTTTAACTTCAGACACTAAATGTTTAATAAAGTTTCTTTCTCTGCTTGTGCCCCACAGGTGGATTACCGTACAGAGGACGCGACTGCCAATGCCGGCTCAGACTATGAGTTTGCTGAGGGCACGTTGGTCTTCAAGCCTGGTGAGACAACAAAAGAGTTCACTGTTGGCGTTATTGATGACGACATTTTTGAAGAGGACGAGCACTTCTACGTGCGCCTAAGTAATCCACGCATCGTGCACCGAGCTGAGGTCTCTGTCCTGGAGCCGAGCTCTATCACCTCCAGCAACAGCACGGTGGGCATCTCCTCCCACGTTCCCCCAAAAGCAGCCCTGGGAAACGCTCACACCGCCACGGTTACCATATATGATGACGACCACGCTGGCATTTTTACGTTTGAAAATAACTCCATGAGGGTCAGCGAGAGCGTCGGCAACATGCAGGTGAAGGTTCACCGGACGTCTGGGGCAAGGGGGAAGGTGGCGGTGCCTTACCACACCGTCGAGGGCACCGCCAAGGCCGGGGAGGACTACGAACTGGTAGCCGGCAAGCTGGAGTTTCAGAATGACGAGACTATGTGAGTGACAGTTATTCTTCCTTGATGTGATGCCTTGTTGATGCTTCTCATCACTTGATCAAACATCACAGCCCACATGTTGGTATGTTAAACAGTCCTGCTAGATTACTGTAAATTATCTATTCTGGTAAAGGATAAAAGGACTGTTTTTATGAGTCATAGATACGTTCGCTATGAGAAGTTTAGATCTTTCAGAAGGATGACGTGGGAGGATAAGGGGATATAATTGTGAGGCTGATAATAAAACATTGTGGCTGATGTAAAAGAAGGAGAAGGAGAAAAAGAGGCATCGAAGCAGCTTTCTCTGAATGAATAACCATGCAGCCCTTTGGGATTTCAGTAGAGGTTATATGGGAGTTCATTGTAATGCAGAGCAATGAAAACTCCACTGCAGAAAACAAAGGGAAGTGTATGATAGCGACAGAGTAGAGGAAAGAAAATCAGACAGGTGACTTGCACAGCAGCAAGGAGGGGATGGGGGCTGCTGAGCTACTACTGAAACAGGTGCATGTGATGAAGCCTGTGTGATAATTTCAACAAAAGGATCCATGGATGCACCAGCAGAGAGGCAGATAAAAAAGAGCAGAGAGGAAGGGTACAGAGAGAACGGTGAAAGTGTGATGTTTTTCCAGCTTTTCTCTTGAATGTTGTGTGGAAGGTTTGGCTGAATGATGAGTACACTTGTAGGGTTTGTTTTATGATGTGACGGGCAAAGGGCTTGGCAATTATCCACAGCAGTGTTTTTATTATTTTTTTCAGCTTAAAAAAGAAAATGCCCTTAACTGTTTCAAGCTCATCACAAAATGATTTACAGCACACCAATGGACAAAACAAAGGAATAAAAAATGTGTCAGATAAATCCGTCTGTGTGGGGAGGATTTCAGGGCTTGTGTGTAGGTGTATTGTGTAGGTCGGCTGAGTGGGAGGAAAGGCAGGTGAATACATGGTGTCAAAGAGAATACAGATCTCCATATTTGTCTTTTTGTGCCTCACAGTGCAGGTGAGATTTGAATATATTTGTCAGTGTGCACAATTCCCTGCATGTTTGTCAGTGTGTACTTTTAAAGGGTGTTTGTGTGTGTGTCTGTGTACTGAACCCACTTCAAAACCGCATCAAACAAAATGTCGCTCCAAAGGGGAACTAAAGAGAGCTTGTTGAGCATCTAAAGCAATTAAAGAGAGTGAAGAGGGGTTAACAGAAGTCCCACAAGTTCTCTCAATGTAGCGCAGACAGCTACAGAGGCTGCAGTTAATGAGACAGTAGCGCCTAACAATGTGAGAGAGGCTGGCAGCTTGTATCTATGTTCAAATGGAGACTGAGCATTAGATAAAAATCCTCACCTACTGAGCCAAGACTCTGTTTATCTGACTGTAGCAAGCTGACAGTGACACAAGCAAATGCACACTTTACATTATCTGGAGTCATGCTTCCATCGACAGTCTGTGTGCAAGCAGGAGTGGAAGGACTGTGGAGAGTAGGATCCAGCAGAGTAGGACAGTTTGCTACCAGAAAACCGATGAAAAGAAAACCCAAACGCAATGAGAAGTGCCTAAGCTGCACTCAGCTGCTCCTGTGCTCCTTTGAATAGCAAACAAGGACTTGAAGGGGAACGCAGGAGCACTCTGGTCATAGGTAAAAAGGCTTCTCTCAGATCTTAAGTCAAAATTGCCAGGTCCAGTTGGGTCAAGTCACAGCAGCAAAATTTGTAATCTAAGATACCTGTACTCAGAAGGTTAAAGCACAACATTTTATCATTGGAAAAGGGCAGCATTTATCTCTATTTGCCACATTAAGATATATATCAAAGCTGGTGTAGAGCCAAAGTCCATAGAAACAGATTGCTACGGATCTAAGTCTTTCTAAAACATCCCAATTTGTTCCTGCTTTTTGCCACTAGATGCTGGAGTCAGGCTGAATTTTTCATGAGGTTGTTTAATTTGGAGTGTTCAGTCAGTCCTGTTAAAAGATGGAGGTGAAGCTCCATCACTGTGAGTCTTTGCGTTGTCATCTTGAAGCTTTTCGGCTTTTGTAGGTGCATATCTATTCATGCTCCTGAGCAGACGAGATCGCACATGTTCTGTGTTAAATGTATATCTGTGCTCCTTACTGCTCAGCAGGCTGCCAAAGTTCACCCTTCAAACAGAGCTGGCTTTTCTTACCCGAGTGTTTCCCTGGGTGTTCAGGACAAAGAGCTGACACTCGGCAATGGGCCTTCAGGCAGCTCTTTGTGTGTGTGTGTGTTTGTTACAGTGACTCTTGCTTTGTGCCGCTTTGTGTCTGTGTACATCTGCCTGTCCCGGTCGATGGTTGAGAATGCAGAAAAGCAAAAGAGGAGGAAGGCAAGTTTGTAAGCTTTTGACATGGAGCCAGGAGGAGCATTTTAAAAACCAGGCGTGCAGTTAAATAATAATTTACCATCTAAATTCTGCACTGCAGTAAATAGATTATGATGTACAGACATAGACCTCTGAGCCAACATAAACAGGCTGACATAGAGAACCATTTTACATTTCTGTGTTTATGGATTAGAGGCAGATCTGCACAGACCCTTTGATGCTTGTAGATTCCTCTTGTGTCTGTTTTTGTTTAGCGCCTCGAAATGTGTGGCACTACACACTAGTTGAGGCTGAGGTGGATAACGGGGGCAGTTATATAAGCTAGAATGAAAGAGATGTGAGGAGATCACTTCTGAAAAGGGAAATCAATACCCTGATATTCTTTATTTCTCACGCTTAATGTAGTCAGGATCAATAACGTCCTGAACTTCCCGACAAACACGGAAAAAGCGGAGCAGCGCAGTCAGGGTTGGGTAACATTAACACATTTGGAAAACCTTTCAAGGTAGAAGAAAGGCTTTGCTCCATTTGAGCAGCACTGATAGGGTTCCTTTTGTTAAACCTTCATTCTCATATTTAATGCTCACAGCAATTCATCATATCTCATTGTTATTCTATATATCATTAGGCTGCGTTTTTTTAGCCACGCTAGACGTACGTCTGTCTGTCGGTCCACCAGACTGTAGTATCTCAGTAATCCTCGGACAGATTGTCTTTGGTCTTTTCATCTAGCACCACCATGAGGTTAAAATTTATGGTTCTGGGTGAAATTAGGTACACACACATTCATGTCCCCTTGAAGAGGAATTGAAATAACTTTGGTGATCTTCTCTGAATTTTTTATCTAGCCCCATTATCAACGCAAAAATTAAATTCATTCACCGCTTTGCTTTATGATCACATACTTAAAAAACTAATGACATTCCCATCAACCTCTGCTGTACTTGTGTTTAGTGCTAATTAGCTAATGTTAGCATGCTAATGTTAACAGACGAAACTAAGATGGTGATCATATAGTAAACATGATAACTGCTGAATATCAGAATCTTGTCATTGTGAGTATTTTAGCTTGCTAACATTAGCATTTAGATTGAAGCAAGTACAGCCGCACAGAGTCGCTCGTATTGCTGCAAACAATGTGAGAGCCTAAAGGTGGGGCAAGGTATTCTAGGTAATGCGGTTCTAATCTGACACACTGTTTGTCAAATTCATTATTAATAATAATAATTTTTAATATAATCTATTTATATATAATTCTATTTGAAAAGTGTCCTAAATTAACTTCCATTTATGAATTGGCGCTATACAAATACAATTTTATTTCATTGAATTGAATTGAATTCAGCTTACTCTCTAGTTTGCCAAAATATGCTGTCATTGTGTTGTATATAGTATTGCTATAGTAGCCAGAGAGTTGAGAGTCTCATCCTTTCTGCATGTTAGCTTCGCAGCACCAACCGTATCCACAGTTTACTAACCCTTAGCTATACCCACACTATATCATGATATTTGTTATGGTCATTGGCAGAATAGCTAACCACACTTTTAAGAGAAAAGTTCAAACCCTGGCTCTCTCGCCACCGCACCTCTGTGGATGCCAGATTGTCAGATTTGTAAAAGTTGCAGAAATGGTCATTACGACATCGGCGAGGTGTGGGGGGGGGATGGGGTTTCCGAAGCAGTTCAACCATCCGATAAGCAGTTCTGAAATAGCTGGCAGCTCCAGTCTTGTGTTATATTGTATGTAGACCTTTTTCTCATCTCACTTGTCTCCTCTAGTGCTGATTAGTGCTGATATCCTTAAGCAGCCATTCTCTGTTATACAATAATTTCAAGTACAAGTTATCAGAGATAGGGTCATATATCATTGGCAATGTCAAAAACCTTTTGCTTCCGTATAAATATCCTGTACATAATAACCCAAGAACACATTACAGTGGAGATAATATAATGTTCGTTTTGAAACTGCTGTAAATATGAGACACATATATCTTCATGGTGCAGCTGCTTCATGTTCACATTCAGCTACAATGCAATCTCTCTGGTAGAGATCTTGCTCAAGGACACTTCAGCTAGGCAGATACATGCTGACACACAGGTTTGATCCATAGTTCTGTAACTGATTGGCCGTGCCCTGTTCAGTCGGGGGCATCTGACATACAGTCATGCATGTATGCATTCACTCATTCTCCCTGTTGGCTTCATTTCTGTCAGGCTCTCAGGAGGGCTGGAGCCTATCCCAGCATGCAGAGTGCAGAAAGTCGAGAGACTCTCCCAGGGTGAACACAGAGGCATAAAATCACTTACACTCATACCTGTAGGCAGTTTGGAGTCTCCAGTGCTCATGACATACCGTACTGCCTTTTGACTGTGGGAGGAAACTGGAGCATCCTTATCAAACCAACGCAGAATCTGGAGGAGAGGGAAACTCCAAATAAAAAGGTTGAACAGCTGCCCGATCCTTCTTTCGAGAGGTGACAGTCCTACCACCACCCTAGAGTCCTATCTGGTTTTCCCTTTAGTTAGGCTTAATTTAACAGGTTAAACCAAGTTAATCCAGTTAATTAATTTATAGAAGAAACAGACACTTTTTGCTTTGCTAGAAAACTGTAAAAAGAAAGAATAAAAAAGGAAAAAAGCACTGACGCATCTCCTTTTTATTAGAACTTATAAAAAGACCCCGCCAGACTTTCTGCAGTCTGCAGTGTATTCCACACATGCAGCAGAGATTATGGTGGTTTCAGGTAGAACAGGGATCAATCTTCACAGCTCAGACAATACACTCCAGTCCATCACTTCATTTGTGTGTGACAGATACAATAGCAGGGTATGTTACCCACTATGGCTTCTCAGAAACTATCCCAGGAATGGAGCCGCCGGGCAGACAGAGATGGCTGATGCACAGTGAAATGTGATATTCAGTAAGTGAGAGCTTTACTGTGTGGATAGAATCTAACTATGCCTGTTGTAATGAGAGTTTGCTTCGACCTGCAGAGATACACCGGCTCCGGGTGATGCTACTGTACCCGATTATTACAGTGATCCTTTCAAACTCACATGATGATACATAGAAGCACCTCATGGATTTATCACCACTTTTAAACGATCAAAAGACATTTTTGGAAATACGCTAATTTGCTGAGATACCAGGTTGTGGTTTAACAAGGAGTTTAAGAAATACTTTGAGCACAAACTCTATAAAACCACATTTTTACATTTCTGTTTGTGTGATGAAACAAACTAGATTAACGTCTTAAATTAGTGAGCTTTAGAGGTACTCGTCGGAAGATGTTTTACCTTTGGACAGAACCTTGCTAGCTGTTTCCAGCCTTTATGCTAAGCTAAGCTATCCAACTGCTAGCTCTAGCATACAGACATGAGAGTGGTATTGATGTTCTTATCTAGTTCTCGGCAAGAAAGCAAATTTCTGTTTAAAAACTGTTTTTTTAACTAGTTTATTAGCCCATCAGCTACCTTGGTTTACAAGTTGTGACCTCAAGACAACAGAGAGGTCACATGGAAATACATTTTCTGCCCTCAATTTTACCTTTGAACCTGAACATGGGAGCCACATAATTTAACAAGCTCTATTAGGTAGTGTTACGACCACTGGTTAAAATCATCTTTTTTAGTTTGATATGTTGATTGTCGATTGCCAATCAGCTTCATTAAGCTTCATTGGAAATCGTTGAGTTCTGGCATATTCAGAATTTATTCATAACTTATCAAAAATCCAAACTGAATTGATTATTAAATCTATGTTGAACTACCTTCACCCTTTTAGCAGCATGTGTTAAAACAAGGCTGTAATGCTGAGTTTCTTATTCATAGTTTTACTCTTTTTATTATTTCATTGAACTGGAATTTTTACCTATCAGTTACTCATTACGTTATACTTTGGATTCAACCTGGTGAAAAAAGCACTATTTTACTGTATGACTAATTCATAAAACTAATCTCACCTCAGTCATCTATTTTGGAATCTGTAGACAGTTTTGATTTGTTCACCTTTTGTGTTATTATCACCCACCTTTTGTCTGAAATGAGTGCAAATGAGCATTAAACTCTGGCAGAGGTTGAGATTTAAATTGCCACCTAATCAGCCGAAGAGAACGTACTTCCCTGTTGTTCTTTGACAGCCTTTGATTCCTGGCTTGTATTTTAATGAGAGGTCTGCGAAATGTAAATGTTTGTCTGATCCCTGGCAGTTATATCCTGCTTATCTTACACTAAAGCAGGGCAAACAGTATCTGCCCAAATTGTGATGTAATACCAGAATGGCTGCTGCATGAATATGGTCCATAGCAACCGAACCATCACGTTTTATTTTAAGGCCTTAAAGGAAACTTACTGTGTTCCTCTACATATCATGCTTGAAATAGCATCTTGTTTAAAAGATAAACTCTTTCGTTTCCATTGTAAGGACTCTAGGCTATACTGCGATTCCCTTTGCACCCACTGGCATGACTGTCCCTGACATTAGACAGCTGATGACGTATCATTCATGTTTAAAATAAACTTCTTCTCTTCTGCGAGCAAAAGCTCCTGCGTGTTGTCGAATCCTGAGTGTATAAGTGTAGACAGAAATAGACAGCCACCCACATATCATTAGGGAGATGGAGAGAAAGGGAGAGAAAGACTCACTGTGACAGTGTAGGAGAATGAAGCGGGCTGAGGCAAATATGTCGGTCACAGTTTGACACCACATCCGCACGTGTTTTTGCAGCATTCAGTTTTACAGACTGTATTTCTAAATAAGTCTTAAGATTTGCTTTAACCTGCATGGATTCCTAGATAGGTGGTGCTTAATTTCCACTGAGAACAAGATAATAATTCAATTTCCCGTGACTTATAACTTGAAGTGTGTGGGAGGGGTGTGGGCTGTTTCACTACATTTCTCTTGTGCTCTAATGGAATTAATGGTGTAGATGGAGTCCGCCCTCTTGTGGGGTACTACATATACATATATAAATATATATAAATATGTATATATATTTGCTCATTTGTTAAAAATCTCGAGCTTCCATCTTCTTATCTAACATCTCTGTTTTATGATTCATTGTGTGGGCAGTCTACCTCTTGGCTACGCTGTTTTGATTCGAATGTGTACAAAAGCATAGAACCTGCTCTTACTGGCTGCCTGGGATCTATTTTTGATTTAATTTAGGTAACAAATGCATACTGCAGGCTAACTCATATTGACAGCTGCTGTTATTTCCTAAATAATAATAATTAACCGATTCATCCGTCTCCGTCTGCCTCCTTCCTCTCCTTGTGCCTTGACCCTTCTGCTTTTAGGAAGCTGTTGAATGTGAAGATCATCGATGACGAGGAATACGAGAAGAACAAGACTTTCACGATTGTGTTGGAGGAGCCCATCCTGCTGGAGGTGGGACAGAGACACGGTGAGCCTCGGACGCAGCTGCATGATACAGCAGCAGAGTGATTTCCCTCATTACTTTATGGCTTAAAATACATTTTCCATTGCATCCACTCTCTTTTATATTTTATTTAAATTCTTGGGCTAGAGCTGTTCATATCCATTGATACTAATTCGTCTTAACTCTGGGGCAGCTCTAAGGTCTAAGGTGTGATCTCTTTATTCCATTTGGTGTATTTGATATGGCCAGGCTTTATGAATAAAATATACTGGGCTAAAGTAGTTAGATCAAGATTAAAGCTAAAAGAGACAGGGGCTATTTATAATTTGTCCACATACCTTACACTATACTCAATTTAAGGCCCTGTGCTGGGTGACCCTCCGACCATTTTCTAATTCACAATGAAAATAAGTTGATTCACACTGGGAACTTTTTTATTGTTTATACCAATTAGTAAATGCTCAGTAATGTCCAATCTATACAGTGTAAAGCGGTGACACTTCTGCAAAAAGTCCATGTGCACCTGACAGACAGGGGCTGCTGAGACTGGATTTGCATCTTCGCAACGATGAGTAAAAACGGCTAACCTCGCATACCACTCCGTAACCTCGGTTACCTCGTCTGTGGCAGGCTACATTTTGGCCTTGGCTCACAAACTGACATCCACAGAAAAATTAATTTAATTCCATACCCAATATGTTAAGATCCACTGAAGTTAGACACGATACAACATGAATAAATCCCCAGTTTTGCTATCTTTACCGCCATCCTGACTGTAAGGGAGCCAGTGTAGGGACCAGAGCTGCTCGGGTCCCTTATTTACAGATGACATAACACATTTTGATTGTCATTTGTGAAAATCCTCATGGGTTCCATTATCAATACAGTATCTTGTAACAATTAACTTGTTACAAAACCTTATTCTCCTGCTACAGGAGACACCAATGATAACAAGACAGCAGTGGGACCGGAAGACGTGTCAAAGATGGGCTGCCCCTGTCTGGGCGAGCACACTAAGCTGGAGGTGGTCATTGAGGAATCCTATGAATTCAAGGTAACTTAAAATAAGCAGTCTTTAACCACAGAGCCACACCCACCTATCATACTGATGTTTGCATAATATTTTGTTTGTTCTTATGAGATTTACCTGCTCACTTCCTACTGAATACACATCGCAGCAGGTCTTTGGACTGGAAATCCTTAAACTTTTTCGTACACACTATGAGAGCAAACAACATGACGTTTAAGAATTATTCTCTAATTATCCTCATTGTTGACTTAAAAGTCCATCTTGACTTTCTTCAGTTAATTTGTTTCATTCTGTAACTCAGTTAGAGCTGCAGGCAGTGGAGGACTGAACCAGCTGCATGAGGTGGGGCACAGTGCGCAGAAAGTCTTAATGTAAAAAATGTTAAATTTTGTGACTCAAATTTAAATTAAACTATAACTGTAATAAAAGAAAAAAAAGAAACTATTAAAGTGCCCCTCCACTCAAAAATATGTATTTCTGCTTTTTCTTAGAAGCATGATGTGTGAGTTTCACTGTGCAGAATGATG